AAAAAAAATCAATCATACTCAATAAGGCCAATGCTCGACTTGGCTCGTTTGCACCCATACAGTACACCAATAAATATAACCTGTCCAAGTCGCAAAAAAGTAACAAACAAATTCAATATATGCTCCAAATTACAAAACGAAAAAAATCACAAAATGACAAATCAATAACACCTAATTTTGAATTATATCGGACATCAAGAATTTGTCCTCAAGAGGAACAAGAAATAACCTATACAGCGTGAAAAGCTATACTATGGGTCAACTGATAACCTCTTTCACTTCACTCTTTTGTTTTGTCTCATGAAAAAAAAAGCATGCAAATACAAAATGGTAACTGAAAACTACAAGAACTTGAAAAGTACAGTACAAGACAAAAGCTAAAAAATATCAAAATTCTCATATGGCCTAAGGCAAAGGCATAGAAGAAGGTTTCCATTTGCTGAACTCTACTAAATCTCGGTTCACAATCGACCCATTGTGCAGCCAAAATGTCTCGGTCGACTGATGGAACTTCCTTACCTTTTTCTGAAGTTCCCATAAAATTGCACTGAAAGCCGAGCAAGGTTCGGATTCAGGTGCATACACCCATAAACACCTCACTCGCCTGCCTTTTACGATCATCTCTTCGATGTTTTTATCTGGTAAAAAACACAAATTGTCAAAAAAAGAAAAAGAAAATTTAAGGTCAAGTTTACATTTATTTAATTGAATCAGTGTGACCTGGAATTGATCCTAAGTAATCCAAAAGCTCGGTTCCTATGAGATTCGACGGCCATTTAATCGAGATTTGGCTGTAATCAACAACATTCTGGAAAGGAAGTTCCACTTGATCCGATAAGATTACCGGGACACATTCCTGTTCAGCATAAAAAACAACAACCCGACAGTTTTTTCAAGAGATTGTATATTTGTATCTCAGTTTTTCGAAATAAAAATAATAAAAAATAATAAAATAAAATAAAAATACCACAAAGAATGACTCATAAAATCGAAGGGTCCACGATGATTCCCCACGTGGGGCCAAGCAGAATTTCGCATTGCGAAGATGCTGAAAATACTCTGTTCTTCCCAGTTTCTGAGTCCCGCTGAATTTCAACTCTGGTGATTCCAACTGTTCACAGAATCAATATACATCTCTTTTCGGAAAGTGTAATTTAATTACACAGGTTATAAAATAATGTTTTCGTTTTTTTGTAGAAGAACTCTGTTATAAACGTAAATACAGAATCTTATCACATATGGTCATTGCAACAGATTGTAAAAAGATGTACCTTGTCAGGATATTGCTTCGCGAGATCTATCAATTTCAAACGACCAGTTTTTCCTTGTGCTCGGCCTAAATAATTAGCCAAATATTTCCTCCTCGATAAAGGCAGTGGGTTAACTAGCCGAGACTCGTGAGCTGTCATTCCATCGTCAACATTGCCAGGTATAATTATATCTTTCCACGTATTGAAGGCACTGGTGTCTCGTTTATCTGTGCGATCTCCCTACATTCACAACAAGAAAAAAGACTTGGCCAATCAGATTAATATTGTATTTAAAGCTAGCAAAAACGTTGGTTCATAGACTAGATGACACAACACTGTACTACGAATATAGAAACATTTTCATTTCCAATAAATTAGGAAAAGAAAAGTTGTGTCTGGAGAAGTGGCATAAAAAAGTGAAAAAAGTGTCACCAGCATTGGTTTTGGTCCTAATATCCATTATTTTACAGAACTAATTTGTGATATAAATCAAGCAGCATACAGGCAATAGTTAGATATTGGTTCTAACAGGCTGGAAAAACGGGCACCTAAAGAAAGTACATACCTCTGGGGTCAAAATTATGGAACGATTTAAATATGTTGACCAAGACTTGAACAAGTGAGCTCCAGCACCACTGCAATCGAGCAAAACATCAGAATTGATACAGCTTCCTCCCGATTTATCACACCGAGAAAACTAAGCAGTAAGGCACAGAAGACTTTGTTCATTTCTTCATCTTTTCCAATTTACCTTCATTTTCCCTTGTTTTAGGATAGGCAAGCATTTTAAATGGCTTTGAATGGCCAATAAGTTCTCATAAAGTTAGTTAAAGAAGAGCATAACTACTTCAGAAAACTGCAAATGTGACTAGAAAGGAGAAGAAACACTAATGAGTTAATTAAACCTTAAGCACAATAGTAACATATAAGTGCTGCTGATCAAAGATTTTCTCTCTTTCCCGAAAGCCTTATAGTAAATGAGAGACACAAACCAAACAAATTCCTTCTTATAAACTCATGAACCAGACAAATTCCGAATGTTAATCCTCATCTAAGTACCATAACTAGAAACAAGAACAAAATACCTTGGGAAAACAAAAATATGGTTGCGGCCACCAGATATCCTGAAATATGGCATTTGACTTAAAACCTGAAAATAAGTAGTACTAATTTAAATAATAATTTCATCGGGAATTTTTTTTCCAAACGTCCCATGTTTGCTTAAAGAACTGCATTAATTACCTTTACATAAGTTTGGTTGATTTCTTTATCATTCAGTCCACCCATCATTCGAGCACATTTAACATAAGATGGAACGAAGAAGAGATCTGCTTCCTCTTTCTTTCTGGTCCGATAAGTTGATTGTAGAAGTAAACGATGAATTTTGACCTAAACGGAATTAAATAACTGGATTATAATGTGAAAGATCTTGCAGGAGGGACTTGGCAATATCCTTAACCCTACCATGCGTTGTTAGGTGTTACCATCATTATATGGTAAATATATTTCCCAATTTAAGCATCCATTCGTCTTGAAACTATGATTCAGCATTGGTATAACATCGAATCAACCAAAATAAACCGTACGAGCTAAAAAATGAGCTATCGTGTCATCACAAGATTGAATACAGTTTATTAGCAGGCTATGCTTGCATCTTTTTCTTATAAGATTATAAACCGGAAGAATCACATTCTTCCACACCACAAATACAAATGCATAACTTGCCTGCCTTTATAATTAGCAATCACTCAATCACCGACATTTGCAGTTTCTTTAGATCCTTCGACAAACACAATCACAAAAGACAGACAGCATTGAACTCTTCTGCAACTTCCTTCACTATGTCAATGTTTCCCAAACTACAGTCTTCCAATTGAGCATTGGATAAACTTATCAATTTCCAATCCTTTTAGCTACTTAACATCAAATTCACAGAAAAAAAAAAAAAAAAAAAGCTTTACACCCCCATTCACATCACAGACAATCCAATAAACCCTATTCAAACAAGCACACATCCAGATAAAAGAGTCCAAATGCATTATCCCACTTCCCAAACAAGCCCCTTTTCGGATTGAAAACCTTACCTGGGTCCCCCACTGGCCTCTAACGCAGGCGTCGGCAGATATCTTCCCCTCGCGCCCGTACATCAGCAGCTTCAGACCCTCGATCTCGTCCTCGTCGTACACGTAGATCTTCAGATTTAGGTGGGTCCCATACAGCCCGAACCGCACGACGTCGTCCGGCGCTCTGCTCCGATCGCCGCCGGAGAACGAATCGCGGAGGGATGAGGGGCAGGGGCCGAGGGAGCGGTCGAGGAGCCTGGTGAGGAAGAAAGTGACGACAACCAGTGCGAGGGTGGCGATCTGGTGGGTGCGGCCGCAGGTGGAGTGGTGGTGGGATTGCGAAGAGAAGAATCTGGAGCTCTTGCCGGCGGAGTTTATGCTCGCCATTGATGAGAGGGCTCCAGCTGAGAGTTGAGCCGGAGGTCGACCGAACTCGGATTTTACTGATACAAAGCCATGGATTTTACTTCATAAAACAAATTGTATTTGCAACATTACTATAAACATTTTCAATTTTTTTTTTATTATTTTATTTTATTTTATTTTTACTTTTGAATTTAAATCCAATCATGTAATTCATAAATGGTAATCGAATTTCTATATGTTTTATAATGTTAGAAAACCTAAATTACTGTCTCAATTTGTACAACTTTAAAAAATCATGACATAAATTACCAAATATAAAAAAAGGGGTCTTAAATTGCAATTGAAATAAATGAAGTGTTATGTTTTGCAAATGTTTTTTTTTTTTTTTTCTCAACATAAAGGGAGGTATACAAGTGACATTTGAGACTTTTTAATATTTATGATTTTTTAAGAGTTTTATATTCTAGAAAAATTTTGTGAACTTTTAAAAACTTAAAGATGAGATTTGATGTGAGATTTCATATAAGGTTTTTGTTTATTAATCATCTCAAAAAGTTTTAACAAATCATAATTTCAAATAAGTTAAGTACTTCATAATTTTGTAATACTTTTTAAAATCTCAATTAAATACTTTTAAAAATTTTAAAAAGTGTTAACAAATTCAAGTCGAATATACTAAAGATTTATGACGTCTTTAAAAATCTCAAACTGAATACACCCAAGTTCATTTTTTGGGCTGGGTCAACACATCTGCTGAAGCCCAACAATGCTTCAGTAAGCAAACGTCATAACAGGCCTGTGTACCACTAAAACGAAAAATATTTTCTGAAGCCCAATAATGTTTTAGCAAGCCCACATCAAAATATGCGAAGCCCATTATTCTCCCCCATTTCATTTCTCAGGATCTGATAAGAATCTCGTCTCTCCTCTCTGTATCTCTCCCCCATCACGAAGCTCGCTAGGGCTTTTTCGATTCTTCCCTTTCTCACACACACTCGGCTCTCTATAAATTTCCCCACACTCTCTCGATTCAAATTCATTCGACCCCTTAAGGTTTTGTCTCACAAGTAGCCGCGAGCAGGAAAGTTCGATCGGCGATCGCGATGCCGCGGCGGGGGGACGAGTACGAGGACGACGACGACCAGGAGCCGGAAGAGGAGGAGGAGGAGGAGTACGCCTTGGACGAGGAGGACGAGGAGGAGGAATATGAGGACGACGGCGGGAAGACGAAGCGCAAGAGGGGCGGCGGGTCGCAGTACATAGATTCGTACGCGGAGGAGGACGAGGATGAGGATGAGGAAGAAGAGTACGGTGGGGGCCGCCGTGGACGAGGAGGTAAGCGGCACAGGAAGGGCGCGATGGATTTTTTTGACGAAGAAGCAGTCGTGGATAGCGATGAGGAGGAGGAGGAGGAGGATGAGCCGGAGGATGGTTAGGGTTCTTGTCCCACTTTTCGTTTTTATTTTGATTTTCTTTTTATTTTTTCTTTCCCAGTTGTGAATCAATATTATTTGTTGAATTTCGAGTTAATTTGTCGATTGCATAACTGAAAAGGATAGAACTTTTCTTAATTGACCAAGAGAAGCGAAATGGGCAAGTGAGGGTTTCTTTCTTAAATTTAACGTCCAAGTTAATTGGCTTCAAAATTGGAGAACTGGAGAAGATCATTGCATTTGGTGTTCTTGACTGAGTAAATTTCTATTTTGCTCATAAGATGATGTTTTAAATAGGTATGATTGAGGAAAAGTTCTGAGCTATGCCTTTAAATTGGCGGAGATGTATAATTGTGGTTGTAGGCTCGTATTTGGATTTCTGTATTTCAATTGTGCATCATAACAAACCTAAAATTGGACTGGATTATGGAAAGTATTAGCAGTTTCTACCTTAGGTGGTCAGCAGTTTTAGTTAGGGGTTCATTGATGGCCAGACAACATATTGTTTTCTTTGTAAATTGTTATGTATTATTTGTTAATTTTCTACCTTAGGTAGCTTTTTGGATATTCTGGTGTCACCGTGTCAGTACTGACTTTTATTGTCCTCAGCTTTCGTTCGTAGTTCTGTGCATTTTGAACATTAAGATAATTGCGAACGTAAAAATTTTGTGGTTGTTCCTTACCACTTTTTCTCCTGTATGCTGAGTGGATGATATTGCTATTTCACAACCCTTCACGTCAACGCCTGTCTGATTATATGGCTCTGCATACATAGATTTCATTGATATGGGGGGTGATCTACCTGAAGAGGATGATAGACGAATGCATCGCCGTCCCTTGCTTCCACGTGAGGATGAGCAAGAAGATGTTGAGGAAATGGAGAGAAGAATTGCGGAGAAATATGCTGCTAGGAGCCTTAATGTTGAATATGATGAGGAGGCTACAGATGTAGAACAACAAGCTCTACTGCCATCTGTTAGGGATCCAAAACTATGGATGGTGAAATGTGCGGTATGATAATGTGATGCTTTATTTTATTGAATCAAACTAAAGAGGGTTGAAAGTATAATCAAATTTCCTTATGTTCGACCAATATTGTATTTCTCTTGTTTGTGAAAGATTGGACGTGAAAGGGAGGTGGCAGTCTGCCTCATGCAAAAGTGCATTGATAGAGGTCCCGAAATGCAAATTAGATCTGTCATAGCACTGGATCATCTCAAAAACTATATATACATTGAAGCAGACAAAGAGGCTCATGTGAGGGAGGTATGCAACAACTGTTTCATCTGTTTTCTTTCTTCCGGCAGATTTTTGATGATGTAGGGATGATAAATTATCTTGTTTATTCTACTATAGGCTGTTAAGGGTATGCGAAATATATATCCAAGTAAGATAATGCTCGTCCCAATTAAGGAGATGACCGATGTTCTTTCGGTTGAAAGCAAAGCAATTGATATTTCTAGGGACACCTGGGTTAGAATGAAGATTGGAATATATAAGGGGGATCTCGCCAAGGTAGAAATTTTTACTTTAATATTTTGTTTCCTCTAGCAGCTGATTATTATTATTATTATTGTTATTATTATTATTATTATTATTATTATTATTATTATTATTATTATTATTATTATTATTATTATTTGTATTGTCTTTAGAAATTAACAATGGAAGTTCTGATATATAAATGCAAGGTTGTTGATGTTGACAATGTGCGGCAGAGAGCAACTGTGAAATTAATCCCAAGGATCGACTTGCAGGCCCTGGCTAACAAATTGGTTTGTATAATTTGTTCTATATAATTTTAGGTTTGACTTCGGTGAAAGTTGCTGATATATGCATATGATATCAGTGTCTGACGGGCAATTACATGCCACTTGTATGGCGTTGTTTGTCAAACTTTCTTGTTCTTATGGCAGGAAGGTAGGGAGGTTCCAAAGAAAAAGGCATTTACCCCACCTGCACGATTGATGAATATAGATGAAGCTAGGTAAAGTAGCTACCTTTCCTTCACTCGTGTTCATTTTTAGCACTCCCTTAATACTTAAATTTTTTATTTTTTATTCAGAGAGCTTCATATTCGTGTGGAGCGGAGACGAGATCCGTCTACTGGTGATTATTTTGAAAAAATTGAAGGGATGATGTTCAAGGATGGCTTTCTGTATAAAAACGTATCACTTAAATCTCTCAGCACTCAGAACGTGCAACCAACTTTTGATGAACTCGAGAAATTTAGACATTCTGGTGAGGGTGGTGATGGTGACATGGCCGGTTTGTCAACACTTTTTGCCAACAGAAAGAAAGGTCATTTCATGAAGGGTGACCGGGTTATAGTTGTCAAAGGAGATCTTAGAAACTTGAAAGGATGGGTGGAAAAAGTTGAGGAAGATACTGTTCATATTAAACCAAATGAAAAAGGCCTTCCTGTGAGTGGAAAGATGTATTAATGTCATGTTTTTCTTTTGAACATCATGTTATTAGTTAATATTAATATTTTTCCTGTTATTTGCTAGAAAACTTTGGCTATCAACGACAAAGAGCTTTGCAAGTACTTTGAACCTGGAAATCATGTGAAGGTTGTATCCGGTGCTTCTGATGGTGCAACTGGTATGGTTGTCTCTGTTGAAGGCCATGTGGTTAACATAGTATCTGACACGACGAAGGAACTTGTATGTCTTTCTTTTAACTCCATAAGCTTATTTTGTCTCAGTGAGTGTGTTGATTTTCTTGTGTGCTTATCTGTAGCTCCGTGTGTTTGCTGACAATGTTGTGGAAAGTTCTGAAGTGACTTCCGGTGTTACTAGGATTGGTGATTATGAGCTTCATGACCTTGTGCTACTTGAGTAATTTTCTCTCTTTGCTCCCCGTTTTCTTTTTGTCCTTGTTTATGGATTTTCCCTCTTTTTCTGTCTGAGTTCGTTAATTTAAAACCTATTCTTGTGCAGTGATAATAGTTTTGGTGTAATTATACGCGTGGAGAGTGAAGCATTTCAGGTAAGTAGTACAAATTTGAAGATCATGGAGACTAATTGTTTGTTATCCAGTGTTAGTAATGGCGGATGGCAGTAAATGACGATTTGCCAAAAATCCACCATAGTGGCCGCCGTGGTGGCCTATGGTGCCTCCGCCGCGTTGTCAACAATGTTATCCTGAACTTGGATGTTGGCTGCTCAGGTCCTGAAGGGTGTCGCAGAGAGACCTGATGTTGCCCTGGTGAGGTTGAGGGAGATTAGGTACAAGATTGACAAGAAGCTATTTGCAAAAGATCGTCATAATAATACATTATCAGTGAAAGATGTTGTAAAAATTCTTGAGGGTCCCTGTAAGGTGTGGTTCTCAATCTCTAGTTGTTCCATTTTTTGTAACTTTTATTCTCCTGAAATTCTAGAAAGTTGATAATCTGGTTGTGTTGATATAGTTGCTAATACCTTCATAATTTTTTCACATCCTAGGGGAAACAAGGTCCGGTTGAACACATATACAAAGGAATTTTGTTTGTTTATGATAGGCATCACCTGGAGCATGCTGGTTTCATTTGTGTCAAATCTGAGTTTTGTATGATGGTGGGTGGGTCACGCGCAAACAGTGATAGAAATGTATGGATCTAACCTAATGTTCTGAAGTTCTCATTGACACTGTATCTTTCCAGTAATAATTTGTTAATATGTGTTCGAAAACATTTCTTGAAGGGTAATGCAATGGCTTCAAGATTTAGTCACCTTAGAACTCCTCCACGGGTTCCCCAATCTACTATGAGACCACCTAGGGGTGGTCCTATGAACTGTAAGTCACTTCTTTTGAATCCAATTTATCTTCTCAAGTACTTGGGTTACTGCTATCTATCTTGATAACTTTTCTCTAAAGTTCGTAAATTCTCATGTGAACTTGAATCTTATGTTTAGTATGCATTTTTCATTATTTTGTATTTTCTTGGTTGGGATAGTTGGAGGAAGGCGTGGAGGTGGAAGAGGTCATGATGCTTTAGTTGGAGCTGCTGTTAAAATTCGTCTGGGCCACTACAAGGGATGCAAGGGACGTGTGGTAGATGTAAAAGGTGCCACGGTCCGAGTTGAGTTGGAGTCACAAATGAAGGTTGTTGCAGGCAAGTTTCCTTTCTGTGGAAAAATAAATTTTGTTTTCCTTTTTCACTGGTAATATCTTGATTTGATTGTAATTGTATGTGCAGTTGATCGCAGTTATATATCCGATAACGTCAACGTTACTACGCCATTCAGGTGGGCAATCTACTGGAAAACTTTTTAGGTTCTCTGATTGTAAACTTTATGATTTGCTGTGTGTTCTGTGTCTCTAGGGAAACATCTAGATATGGCATGGGAAGTGAGACCCCTATGCATCCTTCTCGAACACCACTGCATCCATATATGACTCCTATGAGAGATTCGTATGGTACGTCATTCATATTGTTTATGGTGATTGGTTTTTTTCTCACTGCACAATCTCATTTTGGTTAAGATCTGATATTTTGGTCCTAATTAATTGCCTTGAAGCAACTCCTCATCATGATGGTATGAGGACTCCTATGCGTAACCGTGCATGGAATCCTTACACACCAATGAGTCCACCAAGGTAATAGTTAATTCAGTTAGTTAGAGATGGGTCTTTTGAGGTTCGTTTGATTTTAAATTGGGATATATTGGAATTTTTTTGCTTTATTTTTAATTTTTAACTTAATATCGATGACCTGCTTGCTTTTATCATTTACCTCCTTTTTAATTTTTTATTTGTCACTATGCAATCCACATCATAAGAATTCAAGAAATGCACGCTTTTCGTTACTGATGTGGATAAAATTTTGATTATGAAAATGTCAGGGACAACTGGGAAGACGGGAATCCTGCTTCTTGGGGAACTAGTCCACAATATCAGGTAACTTTATCTCGATAAGTTTTGGTCAGTGATGTCAATTATCTGCCATGGTGACTGCCGCGGAAGATTTTTACCTTGTCGCCATTAGAAATTTGTGAAGGATGGTCGCCATGGCGGAAATTCAACCTCTGCCTTGTCGTCCATCCGCCATTGATAACACTGGTTTTTTGGTTTTTATCTGTTCGCATTTATGTTTTTGTGCATGTCATTAAACAATTTTTAAAACGTTGCAGCCTGGAAGTTCTCCTTCACGAGCATACGAAGCGCCTACTCCTGGTTCTGGTTGGACAAATGCTCCAAATAACAATTACAACGATGCGGGCACACCTAGGGATAGTGGTTCTGCCTATGGTAAATTTGGTTTTTACATAATCTTGTTGCTATCAAACAGAATTTCGATTTAATATGTAACATGGATTCTGTTAATTTCTTAAGCAAATGCTCCAAGCCCATACTTGCCGTCCACACCTGGTGGGCAGCCACCAATGACACCAAGTTCGGCATACTTACCCGGTACTCCTGGTGGGCAACCAATGACACCTGGAAGTGGTGGTTTGGATATGATGTCACCAGTTGTAGGTAAATTATGTTCTTACTTTTACCTTGTCTCTATAAATAATTTGGTGTCAAATTATTATGTCCTGAAATTTGCTTCTTTTGCAGGTGGGGACAATGAAGGCCCCTGGTTCCTCCCAGAAATTTTGGTCAATGTCCGTAGGGCTGGTGAAGATAGCTCGCTGGGTGTTATAAAAGATGTTCTGCCGGTATCTAGTCCTTTCGCTCGCCTCAGCCTTTTTTTTTTTCTACATACATGTTTCCATTGCGGTTTTATTTAGTAGAATTGCTAATAATTATGAATGGTTATCTTTAAATTAAGTCAAACAATCGATGATTCTTTTTCTTTTCTTGGTCAAATGCTGCTGTATTTAAGTTTTAAATTGTTTTGCTCCTTATAAGGAGGTAGAATTAAGTCCTTCACCTGTGAACGAACTTTTCTTTTTCACATCTCTGGAAGAGCAAATAATGGAGTTTACTGAAATACCCTTTTCGTCTTCTGTTAGGATGGGTCGTGCAGAGTAGGTTTGGGATCGAGCGGTAATGGTGAGATGGTCACAGTCCTCCCTAGTGAAATCGAGGTGGTGCCTCCGAGAAAGGCAGAGAAGATCAAGATCATGGGCGGTGCACACCGTGGGGCCACCGGTAAGCTTATCGGTATAGACGGGACCGATGGAATTGTGAAAGTCGACGACACTCTTGATGTCAAAATCTTGGACATGGTTATATTGGCAAAGCTTGTGCAGACATGATTTGGCAAGACCCTCCTTAAAAACTTGAGTTGGCTTCTGGGCAGATTGCTACTCGACAAACCTCGTTTCTATGCTCGTGCAAAACTTGCGGTGTTTACTGTTGTGTGGTAACCGTGGATTTTCTTCTCGGGCAAGAATTTCAGCATAATCGTGGGAGGAGTTAAGGTCGTGAGCCTTTTTCTGAATGCTGTTTTTATCTTTGTTTTTCTTTGACCGCTTTTTACGAACCAGTTGAGAGATGTATATTAGTAAAATGCTACGTTGATTAGCTAGCATATGAATAATTAGTAGTTATATGTGTCGTCTGACGTTGATGATCGTCTTGAGTGATTTCATTGTACGACCTTACTTTTTGTATATTTTCATCAAATTTGTGGGTTCGCCCAGTTATAATTCCGAAAAACCTGTTGGCTTTACGTCAATAGAGTAAATTTTTGGTATTGTCGTATCTTCTTTTTATAAGAAAAATGAATTGATTTGCGGATTCCAGTGAGATGTTTTGTTGTACTTAGGTCAAGAACGACCCATGCTGCGACCGAGGGTGTCCTGAGTGAGTGTTACGAATCATGTATCGAGTATCAAAGTCCGGATTAAAGAACTTTTTTTTGACACGGATTGATGCTTGGAAACAAGCTTTGATTGAGCAACTTCATAAAATACTTGATAAAAAAAACGTACAATGTTCATACCCTAAACTAAATATCTTACACCCTATGAAATGCAAAGAAAACTGTAAAAATAACTGTTCCCGCTGGAAGGTTAGCGGCGCTAAGGGGTTAGCGCCGCTAAGGGTCATTAGCGGCCGCTAATCATCTTAGCGTGAACCCTCTGTCCCTTTCACATCCGCAGCCTTAGCGGCGCTAAGGTCCTTAGCGCCGCTAACCCCTGAAAGTTCAGAATTTTTTTGCAGCTTCATTTTAGCTCGACGAGCCCGGTTGTACGCGTTCTTCAGCTGACGGCCCTCATCCGCATCATTCCCGTCTCCTTCAAGATTGTCCTTGTCCTCAAGGACAAAATCCGGAAATTGAGTTTGCATATCGTGTAAACTTTCCCAAGTCGATTCCTCTTCCGGAAGTTGGTCCCATTCGATCAAGACTTCCCAACGGAAGCGACCAGCTCTTTTTACCCTCCTATAATCTACTGCTCGTATTGGACGTATGATCATAGTGCCTTCGGAGTTCACTGTCGGCAGCCTCGGTTGAGCTCCTTGATTTTTCCCCAAGCTTCTTTTTAGTTGAGAAGCATGAAGCACCAGATGAATTTGAGCTTCGGCCGGTAGATCAAGTCGATAGGCAACTTCCCCCACGCGTTCCACAATTTGGTATGGGCCATAGAAACGACTTCCCAGCTTGAATAGAGTCTTTTGAGAGATTGTGTGCTGGCGATAAGGTCTAAGCTTCAAGTAAACCCAATCGCCCGGTTCGAATCGTTCCTCTCTTCTTCCTTTATCATAGTACTCCTTCATTCGATTGATTGACCCGTACAAATTTCCTTTGAGCTCCCGAATTATAAGATCTCGTTCCATGAGCTCACGATCCACCTCATCATTCGGTGATTTTCCCATCGGATAACTCACCAGTAGGGGTGCCTTCCGTCCATAAACCAACTCGAAAGGGGTGAATTTGGTTGATGCATGGTATGTTGTATTATACCAAAATTTGGCCCATGATAGAAATCCTTCCCACCTTCTCGGAAATTCATGAACATAGCATCGGAGATATTGTTCGAGAATGCGATTGGTTACCTCAGTTTGCCCGTCCGTTTGAGGATGATATGCTGAGCTCATAGCCAACTCGGTACCCTGCATTTTGAAAAACTCCTTCCAAAAACTACTCATGAATATTCGATCCCTATCTGATACAATGGACCGGGCATCCCATGCAACTTCATCACATACTCAATGAATAACTTAGCTATGGATTTAGCCGTATACGGATGAGTAATAGGAATGAAATGTGCATACTTGGTAAGACGGTCCACAACCACCATGATCCCGTTGAACCCATTGGACATTGGGAGTCCTTCGATGAAGTCTATTGTTATGTCCTCCCAAATTCTCTCGGGTATCGGTAAAGGTTGTAAATGCCCTCCCGGTTTTCTGGAATCCGATTTCACCCTTTGGCAAACGTCACACTTGATTACGAACTCCCGAACGTCATTCTTTGCCCCTGGCCAATAAAAGGTATTGGATAGCCTTGCCCACGTACGATACACTCCTGAGTGTCCCCCAATCTTGGCTTCATGGAAATATTGTACCAGCTCATGTCTCAAGTGATCGGTTTCCGGTACATACACCCGACCTTTGTATAGTAACAAGTCGCCATAAACATCATAATCTTGGACCTCCTCCTCTTGAGCTTCCATTTTCCTACGAACCTCATTACAAAAGGCATCTTGAGCATTTGCCTCTCGTAGTTGATCCCATATAGCTCATGTTGGCCCCGAGATGGCTTGAAGTTCCGCCTCATCCGTCCGACGAGATAATGCATCCGCCACTGCGTTTTGTCGACCCAGCCTATAACAAATCTCAAAGTCAAACCCCATGAGTTTTGACACAAATTTTTGTTGCTCCGGTGTCACTATTCGTTGCTCCAACAAATGCTTTAGAGGTTGTTGGTCCGTCACAATTCGAAAATGTCGACCCAAAAGATAAGGCCTCCAAACCCGGACCGCTTCTACCACAGCCAGCAACTCTTTCACGTATACCGACCATCCCACTCGTACACCCCCCCAAGGCTTTACTATATAAGCAATGGGTCGATCTTCTTGCGTAAGAACGACTCCAATTCCCACATCACTAGCGTCCGTATGCACTTCAAACATCACCTCAAAGTTAGGCATAGCTAAAACCGGGGTCGTTGACATAGCCCCCTTGAGTTTTTCGAATGCCTCCTCACTACTAGCCGACCATTTGAACCCTCCTTTTTTTGTCATCTCCGTCAATGGCTTAGCAATCGATTCAAAGTCTTTGACAAATTTTCAATAATATTCGGTCAGCCCCAAAAAACCCCGAAGTTCCTTCAGATTCTTCGGTTTAGGCCAATCAAGCATCGCCTCAATTTTCTAGGAATCCACTTTAACTCCTTCAAATGATATAATGTGGCCCAAATACTCCACCGATTCTTGGCCAAAAGAACACTTCGAAGGTTTTATCTGGAAATCATTCTCCTTCAAAATATTCAATACCACTTTCAAATGCATCACATGATCATCCCAATTCCTCGAATACACCAATATATCATCGAAGAACACCAACACAAATTTTCGCAAGTATTCTTGAAATATCGAATTCATAGCGAATTGAAAGGTGGATGGTGCATTACATAAACCGAAAGGCATTACCAAATATTCATAGTGACCTTGATGAGTTCGGAATGCCGTCTTGTGAATGTCCTTTTCTGCTACCCGTATCTGATGATAACCCGCTCGCAAATCCAATTTGGAAAAATAACGGGATCCCGCCAACTCGTCCAACATGTCATCAATGCTTGGGTTTGGAAAACGATCCTTTATGGTAGCCGCATTGAGAGCCCGGTAATCCGTACAAAATCTCCACGTCCCATCCTTTTTCTTGGCGAGAAGTACCGGTGAAGAAAAAGGACTCGTACTATGCCGGATTAATCCCGACTCAAGCATTTCACGAATTTGCTTCTCAATCTATGTTTTCTGAAAATGGGCATACCTATAAGGATGTACATGTACAGCTTTGGTTTAATCCAACAAGGGAATGCGATGATCGAACTCTCATCGTGGTGGTAGATTTTTTGGATCAACTTTCACTTCTTCGAATTGTTGAAGCAACTCGTCAATCTCCTTTTTCTGAAAGTGTTCTTCATCAACACCTTCTAATTTATCGACTCTAATGGCAAATATTTGACTACCTTGCCTCCATATTTCTCCAAACTTTGTGCATTCACCTCATTCGTTCCCTCTTTTCCTCCGGTTGATAATTTAACCATGTCATCACCCCAACGAAATTCCATTGTTCCCATTCTATAGTCCGTAGTAACCGGACCCAATCCTTCCAACCATTGAATCCCCAAAATCACGTCCGGACCTACCAAAGGTAGTGCATACAAGTCGGCCTTTAAGGTGACCCCTTGCATTTTTATCGGCACACCCCGGTAAAACTCCGAACATTTCAATCTCTCTCCATTAGCCACCCTCACTTCAAACGGCTCAACTTTTGTGACCTGTAAATTTAACTTATCGGACAATGATGAATTAATGAAATTATGAGACGAACCATTGCCGATTAGCACAATTACACGTCGATCACGAACCCAAGCTGGCATCTTCATCGTCTTGGGTCCTTGAGTTCCTACCATTGCATGGACCGATATCTCCGGGTCCTCCTCGTGAAGATCGATTACACTTTTCACTTCATCCCCCACTACTTCATCTTCTTCGGACTCAACACATTCAATGAGAAACGATCGCCTTTCTTTGCACCGATGACCGGGTGTGAATTTCTCGTCACAATTAAAGCACAAGCCTTTCTCTCTCCTTCTTTGCATCTCTTCCTAAGACAAACGCTTAACCCCCGGTGAAAGGTCTTTTCCATTACCGATTGATGTATTGGATCCCGTTCTTTGAACATTAGAAGGGAAAGTTATCGGTCGCCTCACTTCTGGTCGATTGGCCCTCTGTAGTGCCATCAAGTGATCGTCACGCATCCTAGCGGCTTCCATGGCGGCACGCATGGTTCTTGGTTTGTCCAACCTCACCTCAGCTGCCAATTCGGGTTTCATTCCACCAATGAATGTACCGACAAGTGCTCCCTCCGGCCAATCGTGAACTCGACTTGCAATTCTCTCGAATTCCTTTTGGTATTCCCTTAAGCTTCCCGTTTGCTTGATATGTGATAGAGCTTCATTATAGTTGTGATAATCCGACACAACAAAGCGAATAACCATCTCTTTTTCGAAGTTCTTCCAACGAATCCGCTTATCCTCTTTTTTGTATACCCTCGAAAGCCATTGCCACCACACATTTGCCTCTCCGTCAAGATAATAAGCGGCATACTTCACTCTTTCCGACTTGGGTATCTCATTAATCTCAAAGTATTGACAAGCACGATTTAGCCATGAATCAGGATCCGTATCATTAAATGTCGGAAGTATTAACTTAGGCCTTTCGACCCTTTGCCTTCCACGGTGATTTGATCCCCTTGAACTAACATCCTCATCCTCTGGAAATTCATTCCGATTTTCGTGATCCTCTTCAGATTCGGCTGACCCTTCGGAAGATGATTCCGAATGGTTACTCCTCCTAGCTCGTCGTCCAACGGTTTGGAGCATCATCCTCTCAAGTCTAGCCATCGTTTGATTCGTAGATTGAATTTCTTCGCTCATTGCACGCATGCTCTCCTCCATATGATCCATCCTCTCTCGATTAGTTTCCATGATACACGATTAGTAACTCTCAATGAAAGCACCAATGTTATGAATCGTGTATCGAGTATCGACTTTTGTATCAAAGTCCGGATTAAAGAACCCTTTTTTGACACGGATTGATGCTTGGAAACAAGCTTTGATTGAGTAACTTCATAAAATACTTGATAAAAAAAATGTACAATGTTCATACCCTAAAATAAATACCTTACACCCTATGAAATGCAAAGAAAACTGTAAAAATAACTGTTCCCGCTGGAAGTTAGCGGCGCTAAGGGGTTAGCGCCGCTAAGGGTCATTAGCGGCCGCTAATCATCTTAGCGTGAACCCTCTGTCCCTTTCACATCCGCAGCCTTAGCGGCGCTAAGGTCCTTAGCGCCGCTAACCCCTGAAAGTTCAGAATTTTTCTGCAGCTTCATTTTAGCTCGACGAGCCCGGTTGTACGCGTTCTTCAGCTGACGACCCTCATCCGCATCAGTGAGCAAAAACAACCCAAGCTCATGAAACGGCCCATGACTGAGGTCAATAGAAGACCCAAACGAGACCAATTACTTAGAGCTACCTAGACGACTTGAGAATTAGAGGATAACGGTCTAGTCGAGGATAAGAACGAATCCCGAACAGTTCATCCAGGCAACCAGCTATCCCTTTCGGGCCGTCAAGCTCTATTGTGGACTACTCCGTCTCCAGCGACCAGGCCATCAAGGTCAATTGGGGTTTTAGTGGGCTCACCCGCTTGAACCGGGCTTTGTTTGGTGGAGCATCATCAAACGTATTCAATTTAATGAAGCTTTTAAGTTTTGTTTGCTTGTTTATGCGCTGAAAAGGCTTACTCTGTTGAGGGGCTGTTTATAAGAGGAAATCAAGTGCCAAGTGGGGACAAAGGAACACATGCCCTTGATTTAGGATAATGCTACCATCCCGTTACGGGATAGTATAGTTAATCCAACGCTTAAAAACACAACGGAACGGGATGGTAGCATTCTCCCTTGATTTAATTAGTGAGAAATTTTGTGAATATTTTTAATTGGCAATATTGGCACAATTACTGTAGGCTAAAAATCATCCCAGGTTTTGGTTTCTAGTTTTGGTTGCGCCTGGTTTTAGCTTTTTATTTTTTTTCCACATAACATTTTTTTTCTGGTTATATTTATGTACTCAATGAGTTAATTTAATGATTATCAAGCTATGTCAATTTAATGTTTTTTTTTTAAGAAATAAGCCCAAATGAAATTGGGTTCGGGTCCAATGATAATTCCGTGTTCAAACTTGTGTTAGTTTAGTTCTCTTGTTTGAGATTACAGTTCTCTTCTTCGGGAACCCTAGTCTCTCCTTAGAGTTCCAGTTCTAGGGCTTAGATTCCAGTTGGATTTGGAGCTATGTTAATCTTGATGTGGTTCTTTTTTGACTTCTTGGGTAGTTTGTTTTCCTTAGGGTTTGGTTGGGACGGGTAGGTCGATTTAGGGTTTCTTCGTTAGCCTATTGTTTTTTCTCTTTTTATTGTCTTTCCTTTTTGGAGCTTACGTTCTGATCAGTGGATAATTAGGCATTTTAGATCTCTTTATGGAGCAAGATATCAGCGAGCGACTCGTTAAAATCAAGCTTTCAGAGAAGGAAGAAAAAGATGTCGAATTACTGGATGGGGATATAGCACGGAAACTGAAAGAATGTCAGCCGAGCTGATTGGGCAGTTCTATGGGGAGAAAAAAACCAATTTCAGTGGAATGAGGGCCACGCTCACAAGCATCTGGGCGACGAAAAAGCCGTTTAGTGTTCGGAATCTGGGAGAGAACAAATTCCAGTTCATATTCCAATGCGAAGAGGATAAAGACATAATTTTATCCAGCAAAACGTGGTCCTTTGATGGGCAATATCTGCTTCTAAAAAATTGGAACCCGGGAAATCTTGAATTTCACGAGGAGGAGTTGTGCATCCGAATTTGGGTTCAAGTTTGGAACTTACCTCTTCATTGGATGTCAATGGAAGCAGGAGCAAAGATAGGACAGAAAATTGGCAAGGTTATTAATGTTGTTATGCCTGGAGCAGGGAGTGCCAAGGGCCAACTAATCAAAATTCTGGCGGAATTGAATTTAAAAGAACCAATACCGAGGGGCACCAACCTGAAGGTGGGCAGTGAGAACCGTTGGGTGGAGTTCAGGTATGAGAGTATCCAAACCTTTTGCTTTTACTGTGGTCTGATTGGACATTCCGACAGGAACTGCCAATTAAAAAAAGATGATCTTAAGAGGAATGTGCTTAATGTTGGTCAGTATGGGGAATGGTTGAGAACCACTCACATTAATCTTGGAGATGGCAGAAATTCTTATTCTAAGAATGCTGACAGTCAAGCTGGTGAGCCTGAGAGTAATGAATTCCCTAAGACTTCACCTTCTCCAATCATAGTGGAGCAAGGGACTTCTTAGGGAAAAGGGACCATAGATGAGAGTAGTAGTGGTATTGTCAAACAGAGTAATTTGGGAGACACTACCACAGTTATAAAGGGGAAAGAATTGATGACGAGTGAAGAGAACTCTGGGGAGGTTGGTCAGGAAATGGAGGGGAATTTTGAGGTGGCTGGGATTCATGATGAACAGTTTATGAATGTGAATATTCAACCCCCAGCCTTAGGGGATAGAACTCTTCAGAAGAAGAGGAACACATTCACCAGAAAACCTAGAAACACTGGGGTTGACAGTGATATAATGCCTACTGAAACAGGTGTTTATGATTGTCAACAACTAGTGGAGGTTAAAATTAGGAATAAGAGGATGTCTGAGGAGTTAATCAGGGAGCAACAACTAGTGGAGGTTAATCAGGGAGCAACAACCTGGTAACTCTGGGGTGGAGAACAAAAAAACAGAAAATAGAAGGGGAAATGGGTCAATCAATGGTGGAGGAAACCAGCCATAACTGGTCCCAATGTTTAAAATGAAAGTATGTGTGTGGAACTGTAGAGGGTTGGGAGGACCCTCTACAGTTTCCCAAATCAGAGAAGTTTTAAAACTTCATCTCCCTGATTTTGTCTGTTTATCTGAAACCAAGAAAAAACCAAAATTTGTTTTGACTGTGTGTAATAAGTTAAAATTAGGTGATAGGTGGTTTTATCATCCTCCTGAGGGTACTAGAGGGGGCTTTTTGCTGTTTTGGTCTAGTAATATTAGTATTTTGGATATGGTGGTTCTTGATTTCTGCTTGCAGGTCAAATTTTCTTGGCTTGATAGCCAGACCACCATTGGGCAGTATTTGTGTATGCAAGTATTAATGTTTTGGATAGAAAATGTCAATGGAACAGTCTGGTTAGGTATAGTATGTCTTGGGGTACTTCTTGGTTTTTTGGGAGGGGGGATTTTAATGATATTCTCAGTAACTCTGAGAAGAAAGGTGGGGCTTTGAGGGATGAGGCTAGTTTTGAGAATTTCAGGGGTATGGTTAGGGATATTGGGGCAGTGGAACCTAGGTTTATAGGACATCCATTCACCTGGAGTAATAACAGAAAAGGGCAGGACTTTATAGAGGTGAAATTGGATAGGTTTTTGATTTCTCCTGATTGGATGGTCAATTTTCCTGATGTCCTCATTAAGCACATTCCACTGATCTCTTCTAACCATAGTATGATCATGATGGATACTCTGGGTACCTTTGGAACCCCAAAACACATGTTCATATTTGATGGTAGGTGGACCAATTTGGAAGGATACAAAGAAATTATTGAGGATGCATTGCAGGAGAGACTGAAAAATATCAAAAGAGCCTTAATCAGGTGGAAAGCTAGTTTGTAATCCAATTCTGCCCTGACTATTGATAGATGCAAGATAGACATGGAAAATATGATGGCAGAGGGAGATAACAGAGATTGAGAGAAGTGGGCCAGGTGTAAAGATGAGTTAACTGAGGCATACAACCAAGAGGAAATTTTCTGGAAACAAAAATCCAGAGTTTCTTGGTTAAAGGAAGGGGACAAAAATTCTAGATTCTTTCAGGCCAGTGTCAGGGGAAGAAGAAAGATTAATAGTTTGGATAATATTCGGAGAGCAGATGGGAGTTGGTGTGAAGATGATGATGCTGTGGTGGAGGAAATTCAAAATTACTACTCTGAATTATTCAGAACTTCCAATCCTTTGGATCAGAATTGTAATCTTGAAGGAATTCCTACCACTATCAGTGAGGAAATGAACAATAGGTTGATCAGAGTTGTTGAGGAGACTGAGATCAAAACTGCCTTGTTTGAAATGGATCAGAACAAAGCTCCAGGGGTTGATGGGATGACAGCTAAATTTTTCAGGATTCTTGGGATATTATTAAACACAATTTGACTCTTGTTGTTAATCACTTTTTTCAGACTGGGAAAATGTCTAGAGGGCTGAATCATTCTATCATCACACTTATTCCTAAGGTCCATAATCCCTCTTCTATGACTGATTTCAGACCCATTAGCTTGTGCTCAGTAGTGTATAAGGTCATAGCTAAGGTTCTAGCTAATAGGATCAAACCATTGCTATCTTCCTGTATTTCTAATCCCCAGTCTGCATTTGTTCCTGGTAGGCAGATTACTGATAATGTAGTCATTGCTTATGAATGTATTCATTTTCTGAATTGCAAGAACAGAGGGAAAAAGAACTTTATGGCCATTAAACGTGATATGTCCAAGGCATATGATAGGGTTGAATGGGGTTTTGTGGCTAGGGTTTGTAGAAAAATGGGATTCTCAAAGAAATTCACTTCATTGTTACTAGCTTGTATGTCTTTCAGCTTCGTTTGCATTTAACGTGAAAGGCTCGGTCAAGGGGTTTGTTCATTCTTCTAGGGGTCTTAGACAAGGGGACCCACTGTCCCCTTATCTCTTTCTCTTCATTTCTGAGGCTTTCTCCAATTTGGTCAAACAATCTTGTGATTCAGGGGAGTATAAAGGGATTAAGATCAGTAGGTTTGCTCCAGTCATCTCACTTTTATTCTTTGCGGATGATGTGATTCTCTTTTGTCAAGTGTTTGTACCATTTTTGTTGCATTTTCGTTATATTTTTTGTTCTTCTTTTCCCCTC